GGGCCTTTTCCAGGGAGTGGAATCCACTTCGGGAGGAGCTTGCTATGACCCGACGGCTCAGGCAGAGAGCAAAATAGCACCGTGTGGCTCAAGCCGGCATTCTTGGAACGGGACCCTGCGGTTTCTCTCTTATTTCATCTTGTTAAATCGGTCCTGATAATTGGGGCGGATACCAGAGATAGTAGCAGCTCCTTCGCTCTGCACTGCCATGAAATATAAAGCCCTCGCAAGCTCCATCCTCAGGCGGCTGCGGGAGGAGGCAGAGATGGAGGAAAAGGGGGTGAAGAGGAAGTGTCTATCTCCTGGGCTGTGACCTCATCCAAGCCCCGATCTGTGCCTTAGAGACATGTGTTTCAAAGTTGACTTGAGGCACTGTTGGGAGAATGTCTTAATTTCACCTCCTTAGAACTGGCTGTGTTGAATAGTAGACCAGATAGGATGGCATTGAGTGCATCTGAAAAGCAGCTGCTGTGACCACACAGTATCTGTGCTCTAGGACATTAGCAGTAACTTTATCTTCAGTGTTTCAACTCAACTATCGTTGGGGGCCGGGCGCGGTGGCTCAAGCCTGTAATCCCAGCACTTTGGGAGGCCGAGGCGGGTTGATCACGAGGTCAACAGATCGAGACCATCCTGGTCAACATGGTGAAACCCCGTCTCTACTAAAAATTACAAAAAATTAGCTGGGCATGGTGGCGCGTGCCTGTAATCCCAGCTACTCAGGAGGCTGAGGCAGGAGAATTGCCTGAACCCAGGGGGCGGAGGTTGCGGTGAGCCGAGATCGCGCCATTGCACACCAGCTTGGGTAACAAGAGCGAAACTCCATCTCAAAAAAAAAAAAAAACTATCGTTGGATTCCTTTTCTTTGGAATGCAATATTTCCTTCTTAAGCATGAAGGTGGGATAAGTGCATCCAAAGTATGGGAGGATGTAGCATCATTACGGAGAAAATAAAGGATTTTTTTCCTCCTGATGTGAAAAAAATTGACTCTCAACATTAAGAGTTTATTTATGCTACATCTGTTCCCAGCATGGGCTTATAACTATGAAAATCTCTCTGACAAGAATAGTTAAAATCAAGCAATGAGAATTGAAATAGTGTTACTTTTATTCCAAGATGCTAACAGATTTTTTAAAATCTAGTTACCCACAGGTATTCTTTTAAGTTATTTTTCAGTTTTTAATTTGAGAATGTGTTACATAAACCCATATACAGCCAATTAATTCATGAGTGCCAGTGTTTTACATGTCATGTTACTTAAGTGTACTGGTACTCCATTTTTACATTGGAAGCCTGATTCTTGAATTCTAGGAATCGATTTCTTCAGGCATAAGCTTATGTTTGATTAATACTGTTGGCCACATATTGTCTCTTATTTTGAGGGATTACCCTTCAAAAGGTAAGGTAAGAGAGGATCACCTTCAGTCAGGACCTGATGATGCAACACACATACACACATTGTATCACAAAGCAATGAAAGTTATTCTGTCCCACAAAGAACAACACATCACATTAGTCTACAGTGCCGCTTTTTTTTTTTTGAGATGGAGTTTCGCTCTTGTTACCCAGGCTGGAGTACAATGGCGGGATCTTGGCTCACCGCAACTTCCGCCTCCTGGGTTCAGGCAATTCTCCTGCCACAGCTTCCTGAGTAGCTGGGATTACAGGCATGCGCCACCACGCCAAGCTAATTTTTTGTATTTTTAGTAGAGACGGGGTTTCACCATGTTGACCAGGTTGGTCTCGATCCCTCGACCTCGTGATCCACCCGCCTCGGCCTCCCAAAGTAGCTGGGATTAGAGGCTTGAGCCACCGCGCCCGGCCTACAGTGCCGCTTTTTATATTAGGTATAAAACCTGAATGTCTTAGTACTTGTACTCACCAGAATTCCTGCTGGGACGAGAACCAGGTATATTTAAGCAAATTCTTTGGTCAGTTTCGTGGGCTGGTGTAAATGGCCAGTGATGTCAACTGCCTTCTAAGAACAGTGGATTCTGCGGACCCAGAGGCATTTTGATTTGCCCAACAATGTTTGGGGTTACCAGTAAAGGGCTCGAGATTATAAAGGAGTGAGAAACTTGAAGTTTTCTGGGCAGAAATTATTTGGGAAAGAGAGAAAGATTGGTTTCAAAAGGAGTGAGCCTCTCCTAGGGAACCCTGGTAGCACTGCTTAGAAAATGGCCTAGAGACAGCAGAAAGGTAAAAAAATGCATATGATAAAATGTACCATCTTAACTGTTTCGGAGTGTACGGTTTGGTAGTGTTAAGTATATTTACATTGTTGTGCAACCAATCTCGAACTTTTTCATCTTGCAAAATAGAAACTCAACCCATGAAACAACAACTCCTTATTTCCCTCTTCCTCTGGCAACTAGTGAGATAATTTTACAGTGTTTTGGTTAAGTTATGCAATATAACCTTCCTCTTTGCTTAAAAAAGTGAATCTGTATTGCTCTTTCATGGTTCCATACAAACTGGGGGAATTGGATGTGGTTCTGAGTTCTATGTCAAGTTGAAGGCTCAGTTTTCAGGATCCAAAGGACGAAATGGCACCTGGAATCTTTGTACTCCTTGAAAACTGGATATGAAGTATTTGGGGCTTATTCTTTTCTGATTGTCCCTTCCTTATGATGGGAAGTATTGAAAACATTATTACATATACATAGCACGGTCATGCTGCTGAAAGCATATGCGGATGTCTTGAAACATGTGCTCCCTATCATTGTGTACTCTTAGTGGCACAATTATACTGCCTGTATAAAATAACATCTTTGAATTTCCTACAATTAAGAGGTGCCAATAATAAAAAAAGAACAAATGACAACATTTCCCACTTAGTAAAAAGCATTACAGGTGGCAAGCTGGGGGTGAGCCGGGGAAGGCCTCTCTCTTCCCAAGAAAGTTATTAGTGTACTTTTGCTTTTAAATTCTAGCAGCAAAAGACATATCTCCCTTTACATGGCCGCTCTCTGTGTTCTCTTAAAGCTGTGAATCCTTTCTTCAGAGTTCTAGAACTTTTTGGCTGTCATGTAGTTAACAACGCTGAATTCATGGTTCAGGTACCTACGTGCACTGAGTTCTTGTTTCAACTGAGTATAGTCGGTCTGGTGTTTGTAAGAACAGGATATGATGTGTAGAGTCTTAGGGCCTTCCAGGAGACAAATCCTTTAACAGGGCACAGATGATTTAACAGCTTGGCTATGGTGCCCAGAATAAATTGCTTTCATTCTCCTTACTGTTATACCTGGTAAGTTGCCAGTGTAACAGGTGAAAATTGATGAGTGGGTAGCAATTTCTGGGGCACAGACTGGAGGAGCCAGGAACTCTGAATTCCTTTGGCAACAGCTTTGCCTCATGGGGCAAATCATATTGTAGTACTACTGTGCTTTATTTTTCAATTTAATCCTGTATAGAAAGGGATAATGGTTCCAACAGGCTGAATTTATGCTGTGAATGTGTTTACAGGGCAGTAGAGAAAGATGCTACCTAATATGATTATTATTAGATTTTCCATGGACAGGGACATAACAGATGTTCCACGTGAAGGTAAATTTGATCAAAATCTATTTAGAATTTTATTTCCTTTAAGCATCTCTACTCAGAGGCCTCATGATAAGTAGGAAAGGTCATCTTATCTATCAAGCAGACAGTAAACTTTACTGAATTTCTGTTGCATCCTGGGAGGCATCACTAAATATGACACCCACAGAAATCTATGTCCTTGAAGAATATAATGAGAGGAACAAATACTAAAAAATTCATTAGTTCTCAATTTCCTAATATAAAATTAGTGACAATATGACTTTGTCAGACACATAGTTTATATATATATATATATATATGTATGCCATTGTTAAGAAAGGATAAGATTGAAGAGTCTATTTCTTAATAAACTGATATTTTTCAGATTTTATATACTTTTTTCTATAAATAATTTAGGGTGATTAAAAAAATTCATAACTAGTATTGCTAAAAGTAGTAGATATATATATTTTTTGAGATGGACTCTTGCTCTGTCACCTAGGCTGGAGTGCAGTGGCATGATCTTGGCTTACTGCAACCTCCACCTTCTGGGTTCAAGTGATTCTTCTGCCTAAGCCTCCCAAGTAGCTGGGACTACAGGTGTGTGCCACCATGCCTGGCTAATTTTTGTATCTTTAGTAGAGACAGGGTTTCATCATGTTGGCCAGACTGATCTCGAACACCTGGCCTCAAGTGATCTACCCGGCCTAAAAGTAGTACTTTTAATTACAATTTACTAAACAAGAAATCAGAGTAATAAACTTGGGGAAAACTAGTTCTTTAAAAATAATTCCTAGAAGCAGGGTTTTCAGAACAGTTTGCACTGCTGACCTTTGTTTCTTTCATGGATGGGAGAAAAAGAGGGACATGAATCTTACATCTTACAAGGATGCTTTTTTTTTTTTTTTTTTTAGGGGGAGGGAGATCTGGCCTTTCTTACAGGTTTATTAATCCTTGCAAGCCTTGTCTCTGGCTCGGCATCTTTCTTTAGGTCAGATGCATTTCTCAGAAGAGAGCCTTTCTTCTCTACTCTGCAAGATGAGATTTTGCCTCCTGGCTACAGAAACAGAAAGCAAAGGGTAATTGAAACAGACAACTGAACTATTTTCCTACCACTGCTCTTCTCCAAAGCAGAGTCCAAGATTTCTGGGGAGTGTTGCAGAATCCTTGGGAGACTTATTTTTACTCCATCACATGGCAGGTAACTGACATGTAATGGATTTCGGGGTTGTGGCTCAGACCTGAGATGCCCATGAATGACACTGGGAGATGAATGTGGGGAATATCTGTCCACCTCTCTATTTCAGTCAAATAGAATCAGCTAAACTCTGTTGCACGTTGACTGACAATGTTGTTCTCACGTGAACAAAAGAGAGAGAGAGAAAGCCTTCCTTTAAAGAACATCAGCAGAGCAAAATGGTTGGTAATTTAACCTTACACAAAGAAATGAACTAATTTCTTCTTGTTGTTTGTGAAGCCCCTGCCACCTTGTCATGACTCTGCGGAATCCATGGAGGTGTTCAAACAGCACTGCCAAATAGCAGAAGAATACCATGAGGTCAAAAAGGAAATCGCCCTGCTTGAGCAAAGGAAGTAAGTACCTACCCTCCAGCGCTCTACATCTGAGCACTGCCTACTGGGCAAGGACCAGGGGCAGTGGGCAGGGGACAGGCTGAGTGTGAGGGTGAGAGGAAGGCAAGGGGGTTATAGCAATGATTCAGTGGTGCTTTGGAGATTAAGTGCTTTACTTTATGGAGTAGCAAACGGAATATCAGGAATTCTTCCCAATCAAAACTTAATTTTTTAAATTAGAAATTTTAGTTCAGGAAATTAAAAATGCCAAAATGCCACCCAAAACCACACTACATTTTCTGTAAATATGCCCAGGGGCCACAGAGCACTGTGGTTCGGTGTGAATTTTAATTACTGCTTAAATGATGGCATTCCCACATCACATGAAGAAGCCACTGGGATAGCTCTTTGAAATAACATAAATGGATTAGTTGACTGACTACATTTTATAGTCTGGGGAAGTTTTTATCTTGATAGCTTCTATTACCATTACAGTTCTGCTGTAGGGAATTATACCATTCTATTAATTAAAGCACTCTAATTTTACTCACTCATAACTTTGTTTCAGAATCCTTCTTTTTAATTGCACTTGATTCTGCCAATGCCTACCCCAGTGAATCCCATTCTTTTAAACTTGTGAAGCCTCAGAGCACCTTTCCTTCATAGTATGGCCAATTTGGATTTCCTGTTTATTAAAGAGATATTTTGATTAATATGATCTTTTGATTACATATCCTTTTGATTACATCTCCTACGAGGTGGTAAGTGCCATAAAATCGCAGGTAGTCAGGTGTTGTCACCATCAGATTCCTGGAGCCTGGTATGGTAGGTGGCACCTAGAGGCTGAGTAAATTGTTGAATGTGTGAAACAGAACACAAACATATTGTGATTCTTTATGTCTTATATATCACGTGTCACTACAATAAAAGGAAGGAGAGAAGAAATAAACATGCTACCATGCTCAGCTAATTAAAAAATATTTTGTGGGGGCTGGCTGCAGTGGCTCACACGTGTATTCCCAGCACTTTGGGAGGCTGAGGTGAATTGAGACCAGGTCAGGAATATGAGACCAGCCTGGCCAATAGAGTGAAACCCTGTCTCTACTAAAAATACAAAAATTAGCTGGGTGTGGTGGTGGGTACCTGTAATCATAGCTACTTGGGAGGCTGAGGCAAAAAAAAAAAATTTTTTTTTGTAGAGATGGGATCTTGTTATCTTGACCAAGCTTATGTCAAACTTCTGGCTTCAAGGAGTCCTCCCACCTTGGCCTCTCAAAGTGCTGATATTGCAGAGTCAGTATCAGCAATAAAGGGCTGCTAAGACGAATTGTTAAATTGGGAAATATGGTTATATCTTATATTTATAAATACGTGAGCTTGGCTTTCCAAGGGTTATCAGTGATTATTATTTTCATTTATATATATATATATATAGTTTCAGAAAGGAATTGAAGATTATTAATAATGTGACAAGTATTGAAGTCAAAGGAATATTCATATAATTAATAGTCTGTAAATTAATGTATCTTCTGGTGTGTGCGTGTGAAGTGTGGTGGTATTAAAAAATATATATATATAGACCGGGCGTGGTGGCTCATGCCTGTAATCCCAGCACTCTGGGAGGCCGAGACAGGTGGATCACGAGGTCAAGAGATCAAGACCTTCCTGGCCAACATGGTGAAACCCCGTTTCTACTAAAAATACAAAAAATAGCTGGGCATGGTGGCATGTGCCTGTGGTCCCAGCTACTCGGGAGGCTGAGGTGGAAGAATGGCTTGAATCCAGGAGGCGGAGGTTGCAGTGAGCCAAGATTGGGCCACTGCACTCCAGTCTGGCGATAGAGCAAGACTCCGTCTCAAAAAAAAAAAAAAAAAAAAAAAAATATATATATATATATATATATACATACATACACACACAATTTAATTTTTACATAAAAGCAAATAAAATACATTTTGTTTTGAGGAGTTTGTGAAATCCTTAGAATTGTTTTGAGACTCTCAGAATGGTGGTGGACAGTATGGATTTGGGGGCCAGACTTCTGCAAGACCTCAGTTAGTGCTTCGTAAACCCTTTCTTCCTTCCTTGCTTTGCTGTGCTTCAAACATAAAATCGTGTCTAGACTTTCGGCTACAGGGGATTAAAAGATGTTTATTAGGAAGTCACAAATACAACTTTTCCCTCTGACGTCTGACCCTTCTTTTTGTTCTAAGAGTTTTGATAACGTTGCTTGGAATATTCAGATTGCGTGGTTATACACAGTTGAGTCCTGCAAAAAAATTTCATGAAGGAATTGAAGATTATTAATTATGTGACCAGTATTGAAGTCAAGGGAGATTTATATGATATATACAATAGCCTGTAAATGTATCTTCTGGTGTGTATGTGTGTGTGAAGTGTGGTGATATGATAGAAAAATCCCCAGTAATTATGTCTCTGTTTGTAAACTCTTCAGACTGAAGGTACTGGAGGACTTTGTTATATAAATTAACTTTATGTGTAGCCTTTTTTTGCTTTTTTCGGAAATGCAATACTCATCCCCTAAATTACACGTTCTATAATTTTTTTAAATGTTGCATTTGAAGAAATATGGTAGAGGCCAGGCATGGTGGCTCACGCCTGTAATCCCAGCACTTTGGGAGGCTGAGGTGGGCAGATCACCTGAGGTCAGGAGTTTGAGACCAGCCTGGCCAACATGATGAAACCCCATTTCTACTAAAAATACAAAAATTAGCCAGGCCTGAGTGTGGGTGCCTATAATCCCAGCTACTCAGGAGGCTGAGGAAGGAGAATCACTTGAGCCTCGGAGGCTGAAGTTGTAGTGAGCTGAGATCATGCTGTTGCACTCCAGCCTGGGCAACAAGAGCAAAACTCCATTTCAAAAAAAAGAAAAGAAAAAAAGATATACATAAATGGTAGGATAATTATGCGAGAGTGACTCCTATCTGATGTTTGAAACATATTCTTGCTGTTTGCATTGAGAACAATTATTATTCTGGGTACCACCACAATAATATTAAACTTTTTTTTTTTAATTTTTTATTGGATTTTAGGTTTTGGGGTACATGAGCAGAGCATGCAAGACAGTTGTGTAGGAACACACATGGCAGTGTGCTTTTCTTTCCTTCTCCCCTTCACCCACATTTGGCATTTCTCCCCAGGCTATCCCTCCCCACCTCCCCCTCCCACTGGCCCTTCCCTTTTCCCCCCAATAGACCCCAATGTTTAGTACTCCCCTTTCTGTGTCCATGTGTTCTCATTTTTCATCACCCGCCTATGAGTGAGAATATGCGGTGTTTCATTTTCTGTTCTTGTGTCAGTTTGCTGAGGATGACGTTCTCCAGATTCATCCATGTCCCTACAAACGACACAAACTCATCATTTCTGATTGCTGCATAATATTCCATGGTGTATATGTGCCACATTTTTCCAATCCAGTCTATTATCAATGGGCATTTGGGTTGATTCCAGGTCTTTGCTATTGTAAACAGTGCTGCAATGAACATTCGTGTACATGTGTCCTTATAGTAGAATGATTTATAGTCTTTTGGATATATACCCAGTAATGGGATTGCTGGGTCAAATGGAATTTCTATTTCTAAGGCCTTGAGGAATCGTCACACTGTCTTCCACAATGGTTGAACTGATTTACACTCCCACCAACAGTGTAAAAGTGTTCCTTTTTCTCCACATCCTCTCCAGCATCTGTTGTCTCCAGATTTTTTAATGATCGCCATTCTAACTGGCGTGAGATGGTATCTCAATGTGGTTTTGATTTGCATCTCTCTGATGATCAGTGACGATGAGCATTTTTTCATATGATTGTTGGCCTCATATATGTCTTCTTTCGTAAAGTGTCTGTTCAAATCCTTTGCCCACTTTTGAATGGGCTTGTTTTTTTTTTCCTGTAAATCCGTTTGAGTTCTTTGTAAATTCTGGATATCAGCCCTTTGTCAGATGGGTAAACTGCAAAAATTTTTTCCCATTCTGTTGGTTGTCGATCCACTCTAGTGACTGTTTCTTTTGCCATGCAGAAGCTGTGGAGTTTGATTAGGTCCCATTTGTCTATTTTGGCTTTTGTTGCCAATGCTTTTGGTGTTTTGTTCATGAAGTCCTTGCCTATTCCTATGTCCTGGATAGTTTTGCCTAGATTTCCTTCTAGGGTTTTTATCGTGCCAAGTCTTATGTTTAAGTCTTTAATCCATCTGGAGTTAATTTTAGTGTAAGGTGTCAGGAAGGGGTCCAGTTTCTGCTTTCTGCACATGGCTAGCCAGTTTTCCCAACACCATTTGTTAAACAGGGAATCCTTTCCCCCTTGCTTGTTTTTGTCAGGTTTATCAAAGATTGTATAGTTGTAGATATGTTGTGTTGCCTCTGATGCCTCTGTTTTGTTCCATTGGTCTATATCTCTGTTTTGGTACCAGTACCATGCTGTTTTGATTACTGTAGCCTTGTAGTATAGTTTGAAATCCGGTAGTGTGATGCCCCCCGCTGTGTTCTTTTTGCTTAGAATTGACTTGGCTATGCGGGCTCTCTTTTGGTTCCATATGAAGTTCATGGTGGTTTTTTCCAGTTCTGTGAAGAAAGTCAATGGTAGCTTGATGGGGATAGCGTTGATTCTGTAAATTACTTTGGGCAGTATAGCCATTTTCACGATGTTAATTCTTCCTAACCATGAACATGGAATGTTTCTCCATCTGTTTGTGTCCTCTCTGATTTCGTTGAGCAGCGGTTTGTAGTTCTCCTTTAAGAGGTCCCTTACGTTCCTTGTGAGTTGTATTCCAAGGTATTTTATTCTTTTTGTAGCAATGGCGAATGGCAGTTCGCTCTTGATTTGGCTTTCTTTAAGTCTGTTATTGGTGTAGACGAATGCTTGTGATTTTTGCACATTGATTTTATATCCTGAGACTTTGCTGAAGTTGCTTATCAGTTTCAGGAGTTTTTGGGCTGAGGTGATGGGGTCTTCTAGGTATACTATCATGTCGTCTGCAAATAGAGACAATTTGGCTTCCTCCTTTCTT